ACCTCTCCCTCTTCCCTGTGACAACCTTTCCGATATTTCTACGCGGCTGTCACGTCTCCTCTCAACCTTCTCTTCTGGATGCTAAACAGGCCCAGTTCTTTAAGCTGCTCCTCAGAGGGATTCATGGTCTGCAGATCATTTCAATGGTCCTCCTCTGGACACGTTTCAGCTGAGAGTCTTGCCTTGTGGGGCCCAGAAGTGGACGCTGTGATTCCAGGTGGAGAGGCCTGACCAAAGCAGAATAGAGAGGCACCGTGATTTCCCTGATCTGGACACAAGACTCCTGTTGATGCAGCCCAAAATCACATTGGCTTTTTCAGCTGCTGCATCACACTCTTGGCTCATGTTCAACTTATTGTCTACGAAGACTCCAAGATCATAGAATCCTAGAGTTGGAAGAGACCTGGTGGGCCATCCAGTCAAACCCCATTCTGCCAAGAAGGAGGGAAATCTCATTCCAAGCACCCCCGACAGATGGCCATCCAGCCTCTTCTGGATCTTCTTCACATGGGACTTGTCGTCAAGCGAGGCATCGCCCATTCTGTCCCTTTGCACTTCATTTTTTTCTGCCTAAGTGTAACATCCTACATTTGTCCTTGTTGACATTCATTGTGTTAGTTTTGTCCAATCAGATCTCTCATCTGATGAGGTCAATTTGAATTCTGATCCTATCCTCTGGAGAATTACCTCTCCCTCTTGATGGTCTTCTGTCAACTTGATCAGCCTGCCCCCTAAACCTTTACCTGAGTCATTAATAAAGAGGTTGAACAGAACTGGGCCCAGGATTGAATTAGTCACTTCTTTCCAGGATAAAGAGAAACCTTTGGGGAGAAGCACCCAATGACTGATCCACTTCATAGTAGCCTTGCTTAGTCCACATTGCTTAGTTTGCTTACAAGAAGGACCTTGTTGAAGGCCTCCCTGAAATAAAGATCTGCTCCGCCCACAGCATTCCCTGCATCTACCAAGCTTGTAACTATCGAAAAAAGAGATCAGTCTGGCATGACTTGTTTTTGAAAAATCTATGTTGGCTTTGAGTGATCCCAGCATTCCTTTCTAAGCCATTGCAGATTGCCTTCTTCAGGATCTCCTCCAGAATCTTTCCTGGCGTGGATGTCAAGCTGACTGGACATGGGTCATTGTTTGGCTCCTCCTTTATTCCCTTCATGAAGACAGGGACCACATGTGCTCTCCTTCGGTCTGATGGGATTTCTCCTGATATCTAAGAATTACAGGAGAAAGAGGGTGACTAAAATGATCAAGGGTCTGGAGAACAAGCCCTATGAGGAGTGGCTTAAGGAGCTGGGCATGTTTAGCCTGAAGAAGAGAAGGCTGAGAGGAGACATGATGAGAGCCATGTATAAATACGTGAGAGGAAGCCACAGGGAGGAGGAGGGAGCAAGCTTGTTTTCTGCTTCCCTGGAGACTAGGACGCAAGGGAACAATGGCTTCAAACTACAAGAGAGGAGATTCCATCTGAACATGAGGAAGAACTTCCTGACTGTGAGAGCCGTTCAGCAGTGGAACTCTCTGCCCCGGAGTGTGGTGGAGGCTCCTTCTTTGGAAGCTTTTAAGCAGAGGCTGGATGGCCATCTGTCAGGGGTGCTTTGAATGCAATATTCCTGCTTCTTGGCAGAATGGGGGTGGACTGGATGATGGCCCAGGAGGTCTCTTCCAACTCTAGGATTCTAGGATTCTATGAATTCTCAAAGATGATTGCCAGTGGTTATGGAATGACTTCTGGCCCCGGAGACTTGAATTCGTTTAGAGTAGCCTGGCATTTCTAGACTACCTCTTGGCCTATTTTGGGTTGCATTTTCCCTCTGACCTCATCCGCTTCATATTGCTGAGGTTGAACACTAGACTCTTTTTGGGAGAAGACTGGGATAAAGAAGGTGTTTCCCAGTAGCATTTCACCACTTTCCTTATTCCTTTTTCTACTGACATAACCAAAGAATTCCTTTTTCTTCTGTCTAAAGGCCTTACAAGAAAGGCTTGCTTTCAAGGACTGAGCTTGATGTATTGATGAAGCCAGGTCCTACTCACTCCAGTTCACTTGGCACCCCCCTCAACAGCTCTGCATTTTTATATCTGTGAGGAACAAGTGGGGCACGTGGTTTATCTCTCGCTCTTCCTTAGTCCAGGAAATATTTTTCCACTGGTCAAGCTCCCCTTAAGACACCACAATAGCTGTCTTCGCTGAAAGATTTACAGAGCTCAATTAGAGTTGTCAAAGCACCATTTCTCCTATTTTGTTCCCTTTAAAATTTAAATGCACTCCACTTTCCTGACGTTTGTGAGCCACCTCGAGTCCCTTGTGACAAATACTGCAAATAAATAAAATAAATCATACATTGGAGAGTGGTCCCTGTCCGAAGTGGGCCCTGGTCAGGAAAAGGTTGGGAACCAACCACTGCTTTTCAATAACTTTTCAATAACTTTGAAGCATAGGTTCTTTTTATTGCAATTTCCAGTGTGAGAGGGTATATCAGATTACAGAAAAACGTTTAGATAAAGAATGACATTGGACAGACAGACAGACAGATTCTATGCAACTACATTGGATTCACAGTTACATTGGTTAACAAACAAACAAAGGGGAATTCCATTTTCACTCAGCATTCACACCACATGTGCACACATTCATCCACATGCATCCAAATATGACCATATCCTTTTCTCCCTCCGTGGCAAAGCACCTCTTAGGCCAGACCCTGCTTTCCTGCAGCCTGCCAACGCATAGTTCCATAACTTCCATAACGCCAAAACTTCAAAACGCCGAAATGCCAAAACTTCTTTCCCTAAGCACAGTGCCAAGGACCAGATCTGTGTTTTCCATACAGCAGAACCTGACTCCCTGCACAAAATCCAAGACTCCAAAAGCGCCTTCCTTCTTCCTCTTCCCTTGAGAAAGAAGTCCCAAAGGGACCAGACGGCTCCCGTGCAAACCTGCCACTATCTGAATACACCATCTCTCTCCTTCCCCTGGAGCAGAGCATGGCGGGTGAACCAGGCTCCTCAGGTCGGTCACACTTTGAGCATTATTAGACTTTTATAGGAATATTCTGCGGATGTAGTTCCAAAGTTGTAAATCAATGATAGACGTCTTTCATCCTGGCTCCATCTCAGTTTCCTGGCCAGATGTTCATTCTTCCTGATTGGCGTTGACAAACACAAGGCTTGTGTTGACTTCCTTCTTAACATAAGGAAGGTTGCAAACATTTCCTTTATCACTGTCCCATTCTTATCAGAGATTACTTTTCAGATCTCATTAGCAAGTCTAGCAAGCAGGTAGTTTAGTCATTGCCGGCCTTAATATTATACTGGTGCTTCCTATATTATTAGCTCCATTCATCCACTCATTCCCACACATCATATTAAATTCATATTTGTCAAATCTGCAGTGATATTTTCATGACACTATAGTTTCCTTTTGAAATTCATCCAGAAGAAGTTTTCTTATATAAATCTGAGTCCCTGAGGGTCTCGGGGGGGGGGGGGGGGCTTAAAGGGGACGACAGTTCAACTGGAAAACGGCTGCTTGATTGTGTGTGTGTGCCTGTGTTTCATCTCCTGTCTCCTCTTCAGTGACAAAACACCCAAGGGCTGCAACCACCGCAGAAACCTTCCCACAGACTTACAACTTTTCCAGTCGCCACCCTGCTGTTTTCAGAGTTTGCAAAGATCTGCACTTCTTTTTGGATTCATTTATGTTTAGCCAGATTAATTCTGCTCTCTCGAGACACACAAATCATGCTAACGACCCCAGAAGAAGCCTTTCACCTTTTTGCCTGTTGCTGTGCGGAAACCAGAAGCCCGAAGGCATCTTCCCAAAAGGTATTCAGAGAGTACTCGGTTTTGCCACAGACTTCCGCTTTCTTAGGATTTCCTTTTGGAGGCCAGACTTCTAGGCTCGTGTTTCTATTTAATGCACCGGAAGGGGGGGGGGGGGGGGGGTTGGCGGGACTGCTTCCCCCTTTTCAGGCTGGCTCGTTTCACTATCTGAGTAAGCATTTTAAAGGTGGTTTCTATGGGGGGGGGGGGTGCTCAGAGTGGCTTACAAATTTGCCGCTGGTCACGGCAAAGACATTCCTTGGACCCTGTATGAAAGTTCTCCTTCAGCCGCTGAAGATCTTCCCCTGGAGAAAGGACAAGGAGGAAAAGGGGGAGGTGGGCAAAGGTGGAGGAGGTGGGCAGGAACAAGGCATTGTGGGTGGAGCTGCGCTTGTGTCTGCATCCCACTTTGGGCCGAGCCAAGGGAAGGAGTGGCCCAGAGGGGACTTGGGTCAGCAGACACTCACGACGTGAACGCCCCAAACAAGCCTCAGTGTGGTTTTGCATTAGCTGCGTGAGAGGCAGGGTCTTGGGTAGCCGCGGGATTCCTTTAGGAAAAGACTGAAAATGTGGTGACAGCAGCAGCAGCAGCAGGCATCTCACTGGGATGCCCAGAGAGCAGACCTGGGACCCATTGTGGGAAGGGAGGCCGGCCAGGAATCTTTGTGGCCCTCGGCACTTAGCGCGTCCTGGTAATTCAGGGGAACCCATTATCCAGTGAACGAGGCCCTTTAATATTGCAAGGGACCCTTCCTGCCTGCCTGCCTGCCTGCCTTCTGTTCCTTTAGCCACATTTGTGTTCCACCCAATGAAATCAATGGGATGCTCCAAAATTAGAAGTTCCCCCTTTTTCCTTCTATCATTTTGTCTTTTCTTCCTCCCTCCCTCCCTCACTCCCTCCTTCTTTCTTTCTGGGTTAATTCCCTTCTGTTTAAAGGATCGTTGGTTCCCGTTGCTGGTGCCTGCGTGTGTGCTTAAGCTGTGACGTCTGCATTTGTTGGTGTTTCCATTTTCAACATGACCCATGAAGGGAAGGGAAGGGAAGGGAAGGGAAGGGAAGGGAAGGGAAGGAGGGAAGGGAAGGGAAGGGAAGGGGGGAAATCTTGGAGGTAGAGAAGGTTTCTGGCTTTCATCCTTGATCTTTTGCTTCTTTCTTGACCAGGGAAATGAGGATTCTGTGAAGCCACCTCTTGGGTGCAGTAAGGAAACCAATAAGATAGAAAGAAGAAATCTTCTCAAGGTGATGGACTTGCTGAATTCTTGACCTCACTTGGAGATAAGAAAGGGGGGAAAAAGAAGAATCATAGAATCAAAGAGTGGGAAGAGACCTCATGGGCCATCCAGTCCAACCCCCTGCCAAGAAGCAGGAATATTGCATTCAAAGAGTTAACTATCTGCATTGCAATTGAACACCCATATCAGTATTGGTGTGAAGGAAAAAGCATCTCAATGTTTGGAGTGTGGCAAGAGTTTTACTCAAGGGATCATCTGCAGCAACATGAAGGAGCTCACACTGGGGTGAAGCCCTTTGAATGGTTGGACTGTGGGAACAGCTTCACTCATACTTCAGATGTACATAAACAACAAAGGACTCACACAGGGGGGAAACCCTATACATGCCCGGTCTGTGGAAAGACCTTGGCTAGTAGTTCAAGTTTGTGTTCACATCTAAGGACTCACACTGGGGAGAAACCATATACATGCCTGGAGTGTGGACAGAGTTTCACTCAGAGGGGAAATCTACGCTCACATCAAAGGACTCACACTGGAGAGAAACCCTATGAATGCCCGGAGTGTGGAGTGAGCTTCACTCAGAATTCTCATCTACAGAGACATCAAATGACTCACACGGGGGAGAAACCCTATGAATGCTTGGTATGTGGGAACAGATTCACTCGTAGTTCAGATCTACATAAACATCAAAGGATTCATACTGGGGAGAAGCCCTATACATGCCTGGAGTGCGGAAAGAGCTTCACAGAGAATGGAAGCCTACGCTCTCATCAGAGGACTCACACTGGGGAGAAGCCCTATACGTGCCTGGAATGTGGACAAAGCTTCACTCATCATTCAGGTCTATATTCACATCAAAGGACTCACACTGAAGAGAAACCGTATAAATGCCTGGAGTGTGGACAGAGCTTCACTCATAGTTCAGGTCTACGTAAACATCAAAGGACTCACACTGGGGAGAAACCATATAAATGTCTGCAGTGTGGACAAAGCTTTACCCAGGGGGGGAATCTACGTAAACATCAAAGAATTCACACTGGGGAGAAACCCTATACATGCCCGGAGTGTGGAAAGAGCTTCACGGAGAGTGGAAGCCTACGTTCTCATCAAAGGACTCACACTAGAGAGAAACCCTTTACATGCCTGGACTGTGGACACAGCTTCACTAAGAGTTCAGGTTTACGTTCACATCAAAAGACTCACACTGGAGAGAAACCCTATGAATGCTTGGAGTGTGGAAGCCGCTTCTCTCGTAATTCAGATCTACGTAAACATCAAAGGACACACACTGGGGAGAAACCCTATACATGCCTGGAGTGCGGAAAAAGTTTCACTAATAGTTCAGGTCTCCGTTCACATCAAAGGACACACACTGGGGAGAAACCCTATACATGCCTGGAATGTGGAAAGAGCTTCACGGAGAGTGGGAGCCTACATGCTCATCAAAGGACTCACACTGGGGAGAAACCCTATGAATGCTTGGAGTGTGGGAACAGCTTCACTTGTAGTTCAGATCTACGTAAACATCAAAGGATTCACACTGGGGAGAAACCCTTTAAATGCCTGGAGTGTGGGAACAGCTTCACTGAAAGTAGACATCTACATTCACATCAAAGGACTCACACTGGGGAGAAGCCCTATACATGCCTGGAGTGTGGAAAGAGCTTCTCAGAGAATGGAAGCCTACGTTCTCATCAAAGGACTCACACTGGGGAGAAACCCTATAAATGCCTGGAGTGTGGACAGAGTTTCACTCATAGTTCAGGTCTACGTACTCATCAAAGGACTCACACTGGGGAGAAGCCCTATACATGCCTGGAGTGTGGAAAGAGCTTCACTCATCGTTCAAGTCTGTGTTCACATGAAAGGACTCACACTGGGGAGAAGCCCTATACATGCCTAGAGTGTGGACAGAGCTTCACTCAGAGTGGAGGTCTACGTTCACATCAAAGGACTCACACTGGGGAGAGACCTTATAAAGACATAGCATACAATCATAGAATAATAGAGTTGGAAGAGACCACATGGGCCATCTAATCCAACCCTGCTCTGATTGTATATGCTTCATATGCTTTTACGGATTTAACCAAAGTTGTTTTAATATTAATGATGTTTAGTACTGTTTGTATATTTGAGGTTGTATTGCAATGCTTTTAATTTGTCACCTGCATTGAGGCACCGTATGGAGAGAAAAAGTGGGATATAAATAAACATAATGATAATAAAATAACCCCCTTGCCTTGCAGGAAAAGAACAAGGCATGTGAGAATAAGTGTCTGAATTGGAAAAAATTACATTCTACAGTGATCTAGAATGACCTTTTAGTGAATATAACTGGGGCGGCATACAGTGAGCATACAACTCCCATGTTACGCCAGCTCCACTGGCTGCCAGTTTGCTACCGGGCACAATTCAAAGTGCTGGCTTTGGCCTATAAAGCCCTAAATGGCCCCGGCCCAAATTACCTGTCTGAACACATCTCCCCCTATGAACCATCCCGAAGACTAAGATCCTCCAGGAAAGCCCTGCACGATTGATGGGGACAAGAGACAGGGCCTTCTTGGTGATTGCTCCCCTGGCTATAGAACTCCCTTCCTGGTGAGATCATGTCAGCCCCCTCCTTCCTCTCCTTCAGAAGGATAGTTGTGGGACCAAACTTTCGGGACAGGGCAATAAAGCAGCAATAGGAAAGATTACCAGGCCAATTAGACTTGGTGTGGGTGGCTAGGACGGTTTTAAATGGTGTATTTTAATATTTTGATAAATGTTTTTAATGTTTTTGTATGTATATAAGAATTTGTGTCCCGGCATTGAATGTTTGCTGTGTAATATGTTGAATGTTTTTATATTGAATGTTTTTATATTGTGTAAATGCTATTTTAAATTGTAAGTCGCTCGGAGCACCTTGGTGGAGAGCGACTAATTAAGAAATAAAGTGATGATGATGATGATGATGATGATGATATGCTGTGCTCCGCCCTGAGTCCCCTGAATCGGGGTGAGAAGAGTGGAATATAAATGTTTTAAATGAATAATAAATATTCCAGACTATATGACTTATGGTGTACCACCTGCACACTCCTTACACGCCTTGCTGCTCACCTCATTGGCCATTGTTACTCAGCTATGCCTTACTGCTTCCTCGCTTCGTCTGCCAAGTCTAACCCATATCACGCTTTGCGCAAACTCCATGCTGATTCTTCAGGGCTGTTTCTTCTGGTCTTCTTCATGCATTCACATGTTCATTCTTTACACAGTCAAAGGAGGATAGCACTTGGGTGGTTCCCTTGTGTGACGATGTGTAAGTTTTATTCTTTGATTATGTGTAGTTTGGACAGTGGTTTAGGGATGGTAAATATGGGAGATTATATTTTGTTAGAGATGGTGGCTAGTGGCTTGAGCTGAGTTGCCATAGCAATGGGGGCGGAGCCAACTATCACTTCACGGCGCAGCTTTTTGAAAGTGGCAGTCTGTGGCCGGTGAGCTACAGGAAGGGACTGATTTCTCTAGTGGGAGAAACAGGGAATTAGTCAGTACGCCAGCGAGCTACTGAGTGAACTGAATCTTTTGGTGGAGATTCAGGGAATGTGTCTGTAGCCAGTGTGCTATAGGGAAAGACTGAATCTCTTGGTGGAGATTCAGGGAATCAATTGGTGACCAAGTGGTTGCAGAGAAGGACCCGGTACAGGGGGTTGTTGATTCTGAATTAAGAATCAAGGTTTGGCTGGGTTTAAGCCTGTTGTGCCAGCTGTGAAACTTTATGAAGTGTTTGCCTGAGTTTACTCATGAAACCTTTCCAATGTATCCATCAAGATTTGTGCCTCTTTTGAAGAACGGTTATACATTGTTATACTCCTGTTAAAATAAACTTGTTACTGTTTTCCTCAAGCCTTGCCTGATACAGTTGCTCCTAAGTTGAACAGCCTGCAATAGTAAAGTCAAGCCAAGAAAGTAAACGCTACGCTATCAAGTGAATAAAGCCTTCTGTAATTAACAGTCCCTTTATAAAATAGCTCCTAGGTTGATATTGATCGTTGCCCGGCTTCCCTCATAGATTAGGTGGCAGTGGGTGCTTTACCATGCGCACCTTCACAATTGGTGGCATTCGGTGGCATTAAAACGGTCATCGTTACAATTGGTGGCAGCAGTTTAACGACTCCTTCACACCTTGCCACGATGGATTGAGCATTACAATTGGTGGCAGCAGTTTAACGACTCCTTCACACCTTGCCACGATGGATTGAGCATGAACTGTGTTGGAGGACAACAAGGGGGACATGAAAGATTGCCCCTTCGGTATGACTGATTAATCATGGACTTAGCTTAGGAACAGCAAAGCAGAACCTCCCCGACACAGGTGCGGACAGGTGTGCCAGAAGTAAAGACATGAAAGGAATGGTGAGACGACATGAAAAGGAACATTGTTTATTACCACAAAACAAAGAAGCCACAGACCAGAATTGGTCCTATTTGTTTATTTACTTCATTTGTATACCGCCATTCTCAGCCCTAAGGCGACTCATAGCGGTTTACAACAAGCAAAAACAAGGCGAACAATCAAGGCAAAAATTCAATGCGGCATCAACAAGGTACTTAAAAACAGTTAGCACAGAAACAAATTAAACAATTTAACAGTAATAAACATTCAGTGGCGTCTCATAACTAGAATCATGATCCAAACTCGTCAGTCGTAGTTCCATTTCCTGAAGTTCATTGCAGTGCTTATTCAAACGCCTGTTCAAATAACCAGGTTTTCACTTTCCTCCGGAATACCATCAATGAGGGGGCCAATCTGATGTCCGTGGGAAGGGCGTTCCACAGCCGAGGGGCCACCACCGAGAAGGCCCTGTCTCTCGTCCCCGCCAGCCGCGCCTGTGTTGCAGGCGGGATCGAGAGCAGGGCCTCCCCGGAAGATCTCAAAGTCCTAGTGGGTTCGTAGGTGGAGATGCGATCGGATAGGTAACTTGGGCCAGAACCGTTTAGGGCTTTATAGGCCAAAGCCAGCACTTTGAATTGGGCCCGGTAGCAAATTGGTAGCCAATGGAGCTGGCGCAACAGAGGGGTTGTATGCTCCCTGTGTGCCGCCCCTGTTAGTATCATGGCTGCCACACGCTGGACGAATTGAAGCTTCCGAGCCGTCTTCAACGGCAGCCCCACTTTGAAAGGCAGTAGATCACAGGAGCTGTCTTCATAGACCTGTCAGCAGCCTATGATACTGTGAACCACCGCTGCCTCCTCCTGAGAAAAATGTATAATATCACAAAGGACGACCACCTCACCCGCCTCATAGGAAACCTGCTACAAAACAGGAGTTTTTTGTTGAGTTCCAGGGCCAGAGAAGCAGATGGCGGAAACAGAAGAACGGCCTGCCTCAGGGGAGTGTGCTTGCTCCATCCATGTTCAACATCTACACAAATGACCAGCCACTGCCAGAAGGGACAGAGAGTTTCATCTATGCTGATGATCGTGCCATTACTGCTCAAGCAGGGAGCTTTGAGATGGTTGAACAGAAGCTCTCCGAAGCTCTAGGTGCTCTTACTGCCTATTACAGGGAAAACCAGCTGATCCCTAATCCATCTAAAACACAGACATGCGCCTTTCACCTTAAGAACAGACAAGCATCCCGAGCTCTGAGGATTACCTGGGAAGGAATCCCACTGGAGCATTGCAGCACACCCAAATACCTGGGAGTCACTCTGGACCGTGCTCTGACCTACAAGAAGCACTGCCTGAACATCAAACAAAACGTGGGCGCTAGAAACAACATCATACGAAAGCTGACTGGCACAACCTGGGGATCACAACCAGACACAGTGAAGACATCTGCCCTTGCGCTATGCTACTCTGCTGCTGAGTATGCATGCCCAGTGTGGAACACATCTCACCACACTAAAACAGTGGATGTGGCTCTTAATGAGACATGCCGCATTATCACGGGGTGTCTGCGCCCTACACCACTGGAGAAATGACACTGCTTAGCCGGTATCGCACCACCTGACATCCGCCGGGAAGTAGCAGCCAATAGTGAAAGGACCAAGGCACAGACATCTCCAGCTCATCCCCTGTTTGGGTATCAGCCAGCACGTCAACGACTTAAATCAAGAAATAGTTTTCTTAGATCTACAGAGACACTCGCTGGAACACCCCAGCAAGCGAGAGTCCAAAAGTGGCAGGCCCAAACCCAGCACCTCAATCCATGGGTGATACCAGATGAGAGACTCCACCCTGGGCACACAGAAGACTGGGCGACTTGGAAGGCGCTGAACAGACTGCGCTCTGGCACCACGAGATGCAGAGCCAATCTTAAGAAATGGGGCTACAGGGTGGAATCCTCGACATGCGAGTGCGGAGAAGAGCAAACCACTGACCACCTGCTGCAATGCACCCTGAGCCCTGCCACATGATGCACAAGGGAGGACCTTCTTGCGGCAACACCAGAGGCACTTGCCAGATACTGGTCAAAGGACATTTAACCAAATACCAAATTTGCAAAATCTGTGTGGGTTTTTTTTCTTTCTTTTCTTTCTTTTTCTTTTTAATCTCTGTGTTTGTTTTGCTCTGTTAGAATTGTAATACAATGGTTGCTGATGACACGATAAATAAATAAATAGTAGTCTAAACGGGATGTAACAAGAGCGTGGACTACCGTGGCCAAGTCAGACTTCCCAAGGTACGGGCGCAGCTGGCGCACAAGCTTTAACTGTGCGAATGCTCCCCTGGTCACCGCTGAAACCCTAAATGAGATAAAAGACGAACCTGATATGGCTTCGACGTCACATGAAGCACTACATTGTTTATTTTATGTGTGGCACTTGGAGTGCTTCTGTGAGCCACCCGAGTCCCTTCGGGGAGATGGTGGAGGGGTGGAAATACAGTTTATTTTTATTTATTACTCTTCTTACGTCAGCATCCCATCACTTCTGCACAAAAGGAAATTGAGTAGTTCTTTGCAAGAAGATTGGTGAGTGTGAGAAGGCTGAGAGGAGACAGGGTGAGGGCCAGGGATCAAGGTGGGCGGGGGAGATGTCCTAGGGTTCCTTTCCGCTGCCCTAGAGACTAGGACGCAATGGAGACATGGCTTCAAACGACAGGAAACGAGATTCCGCCTGAACATTAGGAAGAACTTCCTCACTGAGAGAGCCCTTCCGCAGTGGATCTCTCTCTCTCTGCCCTGGACTGCGGTGGCTTTGAAACAGGCTGGGTGGCCATCTGTTGAGGGTGAATGGGGTTGGACTGGGTGATGGCCCTCGAGGTCTCTTCCAACTCCAGGATTCTGTGATTCTGTGAATGTGTGTGTGACTATCCACTGGGTGCCCAGGCAGTGTATGATT